GGCAGTTTTTGGCCTCAAACACCCTGGCCGTCATCCCGCACCCTCCTTATTCGTCGGATTTAGCTCCGTGTGACTTCTTCCTCTTCCCCAAGATGAAAATTCAGCTAAAGGGAATGAGATTTGAGACGATAGAAGAGATTCAGGCAGAATCGCAGATGGTGCTTGACAGGCTGACAAAGAAAGATTTCCAGGGATGCTTCCAGGCTTGGCAGCGGCGCTGGGATCGTTGTGTTCACTCCCAGGGGAACTACTTCGAGGGTGATGGATGAATTTAATACCTGAGATAAGTGTACGGGTTTTTATACGCGCAGTCTGGAAACCTTTCGATCGCACCTCGTATTCATCGTAAAATGAAGATTTATGTCTCCTTATTTGGCATCAAACCAAGAAAAGTTACCTGTTTATCGTGAAACCGCTGCGAGCTACGTAATCATCGTAAATTCCAACCGTTTCCAAGGATGGTCCAGTTAGGCGTTTCTGTTCTGTTCCTCTTGCAACGTAGAAGTAAATTCTAAAAAGTCTTCCGTGTAATAAGAGAACAATCGGTAGAATAAAGTTTTTGTTTTATATGGGTGTTATTCTGTTATTCTGGTGGAAGATAAGAGTCTAATAGTTGTTTGCTGTTTTTTAGTATATTTTACTTCGATTTCTCAACTGTGTATGTATAATACCGATTGGGAAGGAAAGGAAGATACTGCCATATCTTTTGCCTCGACAGACTAAGGATTACCACGAGAAATATTAGCCTGGTTTGCCAGTCGGCGGGCCAAGAATTTAATTCGGATCCTTCCTAATGCGGAGGAGTGCTATAACTCGTTTGGGGGGGGGGGAAATTGAAATGGTTGCTGATTTTCAGAGATCTCTGCAGAAACTCATGACCGCTGGCGAGTTTCGATTTTTTATTTCAGAATTTACTGCTACTGTCAGCACAAAATTGACACGTTCTATGAACTAACGTGTTTGTTCAATAAAAATAGATTCTATTCTGACAATGAAGGACGCAGTTTGTGGAGCAAATAATATGTTAATTCAAGAGGAGTGCTTGATTCTTCATAACGGATATAAAATTACAAAAGTCGTTAATAACTGTGGATGGCTTGTCAAGGATATCGTGTTAAACATTAAATTGTCTGAAACTTTAAATTAGTTCGTTTAAACAAAAAGAAGAATATGAATTACTACTAGTATGATAATTTAAGTATCGTCTATACGAAATACCTGTACACAGACGTATTAAATTCAATGGCAACTAGAAGCTTGAAGATATTATCCGGTACTTATTTTTAAAACCTTGAGACCCGTATAAGTTTATATATATTAGGCCTGCGTTAATTGTGCCCAGCTAATGTGTAAGTGCGTACGTGATTTTAAATATGGATCAGCTCTAATAAGCGCAGTGACACAGAAATTTGGCAAATGAAATTCAAATATTTATATACTTAAGTGGGATAATTTGAAGGAACGTCCGTGCGTAGATGCATGAACCTATACAAAGAAAAGAAGCGATACAAATGAGAAGGATTAGAACCTTTGTCTACGATATATTATTAAACAAAGCAAACAATTCTTAAACATGTAACTTAAGTTTGGTAATACAGGTGAAGGAACAGTGTAGTTGCAATGGATGAAGACTGGTTACCGAGGTCAGCGTGAGAGGGGAGGAGGTCGAAACTAGGGAGGCGGTGGAAATAACATTTTGTTGCCGATGCAGACATTGTGATGATGTACGCGGACAGAGACTTGCGTAGACAAGAGAACACAAGTCAGTTAGCAACATGAGATTTCTAACTGCAGAAAATTAATATTGTGTTGTTCTTAAATATAAACTATGAGCGCCGTGATGATTTTGTCATTATCTATTTTGTTCCATTTGAATTATAATTCTATTGTGCCTCCGGAGGGACAAAGGTAATGTTATCAACTGCCTTCTTGTAAATGGTTTCTAGTGTCCACCTTTATTCGTGTCTAAGATACAAAAGTATTGATAAAGCGACTCACTGCACGTCCGTCAAAACTGTCGACTTCTTGACTTTTCGTAAAAAGTGTGAACTATTTTTTTAAGTGTCGGAAAATCTTAAGTCTCTAAAATTTCAGCTGATTTGTCCTCTTATAGTTTGCTTTGTTGCTGCAGTTCTTTCGGTTGCCTTTTTAAAAGGAATTTTTAATTTATCCTTTGCTCCTTCCTTCATAAAAATCTATACATTATTTAAAATTTCCCTAGACTGGCTGAGAGTTACCTTTTGACTTGCGTCAAAGACTGCTACAGATATTCATAAAATCATCCGTTTTTATTCAATATCATCACCTCAGTAGGTCAGTGAAACTGAGCGAGCAGTTGTAGAGATATGTATTTATATTAGAGTTCTTAAATATTCATGTTTAAAGTAATATTTTAATTGTTGAAGTCTTACATAGAGGTCTTACATTTCTTGGGTTTCTAAACATGAAATATGTTTAAGAAGTTTAGAATTAAGCTGTGAGTGCGTGCGTGCTCTCACGCGTCCTTGAAAAATGCATTCGCCAGCTTGTCTGAGAAGCAGTGATTTTCACAGCTAGCAAACAAAATTCAAAATAGCCATCACTTTTCAAATTATTTAAAAATTGCTGTAATGTGTTGGCAGTATCTATCCCAACAATTTACCTTACGTCAGCCTAGTTAGGTGATATAAAGGTTAGAAAAATTGTGGAAATTCGCGGGTAGAAATAATATATAAATTACAGAATATAAGACAATTAATTCTACTGTCGCATAGTTACTTTATTCGTTGTTTTCATTTGGCGAGTTAAATTCAGAGATGCTCCAATGTCTTTGTATAAAGACGTAGTGTGTTAATTGCCGAGTGGTTAAAATTCAATAGCGTAATATAAAATTCAATACTGTAATAAGCTGTGGAAGTAACACTGTAACTTTTAAAGTATATGAAATGGCGACTGAACTTCCGGTTTGACGGGTAGGACTTGGCATACATTTTCAGGGCCTGTAAGAAAACACGCGCACGCACGTTCACACACACAATAACGTAATCTACAGAAAATGATAGCTGTTGCCAAAGTAAGGATCTCGTGTGAAATTTAAGTTTTTTATGGCGCTGGTTGTTTGTTTTGAAAGTCTTGCCAGTGACAATATCATACAGAATATAATGCAATTCTTCCATACAATACGGTGAACATATTAATACTACCATAACACAGCTATGTTTGTTGTGTGAAGATTTGTAGATTATGTGACTCCAAATACACAACTTTCGAAACGCACAACACATTTCAGCGGTGTGATGGGATAGAATAATTCACCCTCACTGAGTTTCCGTCTACTGTGATGTAATAGCCTCCGTTCATATAACGAAGGTTTGAATATTTCAGATTCCTGTTTTTCATTATGGAACTTTCTTCCATAAGAACTAGCAATTTTTTATGTAGTCTTCTGAGCGTTGTACATTGAATTTGTATAATATCACCATCAAAATCTGGTTTTGACTACGAAGATGGATGAATGGAAACACAGTACCCGCCTGTTTCCTGTCCACAGATCCTTCCTTATTTTGTGTTTCCGCAATTGTGGGTTACGGCACACGCTCTCACATTTATATGACGCCACTAAGTGGACTTCTGCTCTGTCCTGTGCGTGATGGAAGCTTCCCTTCGTGACTTGTTCGCCTCATGATGTATGACTACGCCCGGAGACGGAATTCTGGACCCGTAGGGCTTAAGGTCGAGAGACAGCACGTGGCCTCTCACTGGCAGCCCAGGGGGGAATCCCACAAAGTCCTCTGAGTCTTGTCCCTGGGAGGAGTAATCTCGAACGTGACTGTAAGATTCGCTTTGAGTGGTCTCATCAGGCCTCCTGCTGCGTCTCCTTTCTCCCGGAACGTTGAACTTTCCAGCACTGTGACTCGCTACGAACTTGCAGCAGTTTCCGTAAGGGATGTTGGAAGGTGGCGGTCGCGTGTGCAGAAAGGTCCCCAAGTCGCCTCCTTTCGGAGGCCCGACATCATGATCATAATTATTGTCATCATCTGCATCCTCATGCTTATTTCCTCCAGTACCAGAAGGTTGTCCAAAAATATCTGTAAAATCATCCGGTTTCGCCGATGTATTTGGGCCCGTTGTACTCTGATCATATATGTCCGGCCAGGGTTTCTCTGTTTGACCTCCACTTACCCCAGTGTTGTTGCTTCCAACAGGCTTATTTCCTTTCTTACCGCCAGATGAACCATCGTAATCCCCGCCATCTTCGCTGTTATAATCTGGGCGACTTTCCTTATTACCTTCACCATTGGAACCCCCAGACGCTGATCCCCCACCCTGGGGTTTGGCACCAGTATTTATCCCAAACACATCTTCGTCTTTGAAGGGGTTGTCGTTGGGATGGAAGGGGTAGGGTGACGGATAAGGGTACAGAGGGTATTTGTCGTCGGTCTTGCTGCTTATGACTTTGTAGCCGATGTTGGGACCTGCGATGTACTGTGTGGTGCGCTGCACGCCTTTGTCATCGATGTAAGTGTAGGACCCTTTAACGTGGCCGGTGGCGTCGCTGACTTCTGTCCGTCTTTGGTCAGGTCCCGCTGATGTGAACCGATATGAGCCGTCATTTCCCCTCTGGATGGATGTGTGTCCCCGACGTAGTTTGCTGTTCTTATTTGCTGGTGGTCCTGCGAAAAACACTGATGGACCAAGTGGCGTTGAATCTGGGTATGGAGTCTTCACATGAAACCCAACTCTAGAACCGGCCTCGTATTCTACATTATGACGCACTCCGACGTCGTCGACAAATGTGTATCTCCCGTTGACGTTACCTCCTGAGTTTGAACTCTCGCTTCGGGAGTAGTCGCGGGTTTGAAAGTTGAAGCTGTAGCTAGGGTCCTCATTGGGATCGAAGTAAGTGCTGTATGAGGGATTGTACTGCGGGGAGTCGGGAGAGACAGGAGGGTTATACGGAATCTTTGTCTGTGAGAGATCCATGCGTCGAGCGATGTGAGGTCCCCGCACCCGGAACCCACGCTTGCCCGCAGTGTATGCTGTCTGCAAATCGCCACCTGTCTTCGGGTCACGGTAGCCATACTTACCTCTCACTGTGTTGTCAGGTGTGGCGACTGCCCTGTGGTAGTGCTGTCCTGCGTCCCCTGTAGGCAGATTGTGGAGGTGATGTAGTCTGCATCTTAGTTTACTGTATTCTGATTAATTCACTTAACTTATTTACTTGCTAAGTAGGAGATACTCTCTCTCAGGGCCGTGACTTTCGTGGTATGTATTTGTTGTTAGAGAAAATAATTAAACATTCGTCCCTACTATCTCTGAAGCTAATTATTTGTGGATGTTTATCAATATAAATTATACGTCAGGATTAAAATGCCATAAATAAAGTACTTTCAATAAAAACCCTGAATTGAATTTTTCATGTCATGTGTAATGAATCCAACATAAATTGAGCATTGTGTTTGTTGAAATTAATTGCTAATAATAAAGTACGCTACAGTAATTATTCTTTAATAAGAAGAATCCTTAAAAAAAATTTCTCGGCAAGGTAGACCCAATGGGGATTATAGATCAGAAACGGGCACGAAACGGATAAGGTTAAAAATACTGCTACAGATAACGAACAGACCTGGCAGCTGGATTAACCTCACCTGTGGCATAGTCAAAGCGATAGTCTCCGTTCTGTCCCAGGTCGAAATCCAACCTCTCTGGCCCACCGCCTGCTGGCAGCGGATTCGGCCGTGCTGGCGTCTCCGCAAGGACACTTATTAGGCCCCAAAAGACCACACACATTGCCCACCCCCATCCAGCTGAGGAAACCTGCGCTCAAACACACCAAACCAAGAAACAAGTGTTACAAATCAGATATTTTGTCGTAACTTCAGCAATAGTTTTAATTTGCAGAAAGTTGCAGAGGCTAGTGAACACATTGTAGATCCGCTTCTGTATGCCGACCCTTTTCTCTTCGAATTCTTTGAGGTCGTCTGTCGGAAGACCTTGAAACGCAGACTGAGTATCCCCGGAAATTTGGAAGTTTCGGGAGGCCCATGGAACTGGTTATGTAGCATCAAATAGTAGGATGACTGTGGGTGATAAATTTGGTAGATGGTGATTGTCGTCTTTATAAGATGCTATTCAAGTATTTACCTCCGCTAAAATAAACTGAACACCTCAAGTCAGAGCGACGTCTCGGTCTAATAGAGGAAGTCGGGACCTCCCGCGATGTTTCGTAATGTAATTATTATTAGTAGTAGTATCAAACCTATTATTATTCGTTCTGTGTTAAAAATGGTTGTGGTAGATGATACTAGGTTTACTGAAATTCTGATAATAAATATTCACAAATTTACATACCCACAGTAATTGCAAATTAAGTATATTGAGTTCTTTGTGTACAAAATGTTAATACAAGTAGCTTCTCCTTTTCTACCCAGAAACTGTTATGCATATTTCACATCCTACAAATATTTTCACTATTCACTTACATATTACGAGCACGTTAAAGACAGGTAGTGCTTGCCGCTACTCATCTCAGAATCCTTAGTCTTCCCGTCTCCTAGCTAGGAACTTAAAGATGATCGTGGAAGAAAATTTTAGTTCTATGTAATAATCAGAAACCCCGTATCACTTATTTCCTCATAATAGCGTAATTAGTTGCTTGATAATGAAAATCCTGCAGACAATTCAATCGCGTAATCTGACCGTGACCTCCTTCAAACTAAAGAACAGGCAGAGCTGACAGCATACTTGATCGTTTGAGATATGCGATATGGGAAGATTCTCTCTTTATGAACTTATCTTTTTCCGTTTCCTGTTTTATGGTATCTTAATGTCAGGTAATTATTTTCATTCCTTGAACTCATTCTGATATTCTCAAGTGTATCCGCCTACCTTAAGGCCGAGTCCTCAGTATCACTGAGGAACTTAAATCGAGTGTATTTACACCTCAGTTTTCTAGAACTGTAGGAAATCAGTTTTTACAACAATAATTATAACTTATGACTTCGCTGTATCTGATTTTAAACGTCTTAGTTAAACGCTATATAAACATAAATATTGGCATCGTCTTTAAAAAGAATTATTCGCAAACACAAATAACAAACAGTGAAATTTAACCGTGAACTTAATAGTGTGCACTGAAAAGTACGTCCGAGTATTATACATGGATGTATCGCGTCGCTGTATATTTGTAAACCAAATGACAAGGTTTCGTGTGACCTATAATAATATCGTGTCTTTAGTAGATGTCATTATTACTTCTGAATTTTAATCCAGTATCATTAATAACACCATCGTCTGAGATATGAGATTCATGATTGTTACATTCGGATATTTATATGATGTAAAAATAGCTATATTTATATTTAAATTTGATAATATTCATTAGTAACTGCCACATTAACTTAGATTTTATTACTCATTTCCACGTTTTTCATTCCGTGCCGAATAATTTTACTGAATTCTCGTACAATTGCACAATATCCGTTCTACTCATTATGTACCATATGCTAAAAAAGCACAAATTAAAAGCCAATTGCACAATATCCGTTCTACTCATTAGTTACCATCTGCTAAAAAAACACAAATTAAAAGCTTTGGAGTAAGGTCGTATCTGTTAGTCCGTCCGTATGATTTTTAAAGTCTTCTGTGAGGATTTTTATTTCAATATTTATTAAAAGTTCTTTTGTAAGTTTAATTTTGGCCAGTATCGGTCCAGTATGACCCCTGTTTTTAGGGACTTCGTTTCTGAATAGACACTTGGCTGATGTGGGCGTAAATGTATTTTCACTCTCGCTGATTGAACGATAACTGTGTTCCAAAAGCCACAAACAGCTTCAGTTGTTGATAGATATCAGTTTATTTCCCGAATATTAATTAAATCTACATGTGCTTATAAGCTAGGTATGTCGTGTGCAGCCTCGAAAGTGCTAACACGCGACTTGTAAACGTCCCATAAAATCTTTGATATGCACACAAGCCCAAAGCAAACACCAACTCACCGTCTTGATCTTCATTGCATGTGCGTTGAGAAACGGGAACCCACTCACTATAGTCAACCCGCTACACACTGACAGACACATCGAACTGCTGTGACGGGGTATCCTCGAGGGTTATATATCTTCTTGAGGGCTACTGTTCACCAGTAGCTCTGGGCCCACCGCTAGGATACTGATGATTACTCCGGATATCCGCCATGTTGCCAGTTTTCAACGAATCGGAGCTGCGAAATCTTTTTAAAGGATGAGGTGTGTTGTATATTTTGATGCAAAACAAAGGTTTTGTTTAATAAGACAGAAAGATGCACACGAAAGATAAAGCATCTTTATACTTGCAGAACTGACAAAGCTACTGCTGTGGCCATGCTAGAAGGTCCCTTATAGCATAGTGAAGTCGTAATAAGCAACTGTGGACGAAACGTGTGGAAATCCTTTGAGATTTAAATCTGTTTTAAAAATGGGAGTTTATTGTTTTGATTTTATGACGAAATATTGAATGACATTCTTGTGAAAGTAGAGGATGTTAAAGGAATAATTATTTAAAATTTTCAGTCGTTGTGATCATGGAGATGGCGCGATATTTTGAGGTTAAATTTGTAAGTTTTTTTAATCTCTGTTACACGAAAGTTTGCTCAGAAGTGGATAAATAAATAAATAAATAAAGTAATTTATAGTTTCCCTGGCGCTAGGTGTAAGAAGTTCAACCAGGAACGTTTACTTCTTTAATGATTGTCCCAGTTGTGACTGGTAATATTAGTTAATATTCCAATTGTTGTTAATTTAAAACATGATAAATGCAAATTTACTAATTTCTAAGGCCATGACACTACCGGATTTTATCCCTTCACTACAAATTAGGCGAATGAAACAAATAGAGTGGTTTTGCTATACATTTTCTAATCAGATGTGGCCGATACTTGGAGGCTGGTTTTATATTGCATATTAATTGTATACTTACATACACATATGGTAAAACTGTAAAATATTTTACATACGCAATACATTCTGCTTCATAATTTGAAAACAACTCTCTCTCTTGTTACTCAGTAGGATACAATCCAATGGTTAGTATTGTAAATACAATTATGAACTTTCGATTTCCATAAAATAAATAGTTTTTCGTTTGTCGGCGGAGTATTGCTTTCAAAGAGCACCCCGTACTGTGGATTTACCTGCCTAGATATTCTTGATTTGGGCAGATTACCATTAAAGTTGACTCACAGTAGGATTCAGAAGTTAATTATCCGCTGATGTGTGGAGCGAGTACAGTTTGTATTGCTGAAACATTTGGATTGCGGGTAAAATATCCGCTAGGAGCTTGAGTACGTATTAAGTGTTTTGTTCTGTGTAGCTGGAGGCCAGTCCTCCGTAAAAGGAGTCCTGACAGAGGTATAAGGTATTGGTTATTTCAGAACTAAATCAGAATCAGAAGAGACCAGATGGCCCAATCTGTGAGAGCTGAATAAGAAGAGAATTTATTACACGTGAAGAAAACTATCACCCAATTATTTTTGTTTTTCACGGTGTTTTCTGTTTTGGCGCTGCATTGAGTATTTCTCAGAAACTTTGGTACATACCTATGGATCTGCGCAGCCTCACAACATTGTCATTTCCAAGGCCGTGAGAACCTCAAATCTCACACTTCAGCTTTTGATTACGTTTCAAGCATCTGCTTGTATCACAACCGTACCGAGCAGTAATTAATCCCACCCACGAAAGCACATAAATACGACCTTTTCCATACGGTTGGTTCCACGTTCAAAGTCACTTAAAAGAAAGAAGAAAGAATAAGGATGAATTTGAAAAAAAAACGCAAGTGTTTTAGAATCACGTAGAATCACATCCTGTGTTCCGGTAGATGGTCTTCTGTTTTATTTCCATCTTCGTTTGCCATTGTTGATCTTCGCCAGCGACCTTCAAACATTAACTAGAAAAAGTACGCGAGTTATTGGCTGATGTTCTTTGTTTTCAGACATCAGTTTAACGTCTTTGTCAAAATAACAAACATTGCACGCAAACCTGTTAGATCAGTGTCCTCTATCGGCAGAATTCAAAGGCAATAACATGTATATGGAACAAGGTTGGGTTTCAGAGGATGTTAGGCACCAGGTTTGGAGAAAAATACCGGAAGGAAGTAAAGATAATTAGACACTCGTTTCATGTTAAAAGTCGTATAATTTAGGTGGGTTTTTGGAAATTGGGTTGGTTTTACTTTCGAGATGTTCTTATACGCGACGTTTGTTAATTCAGACAGCTCTCTTTCTTGAAAATGTATATTTATGAATTGGTCAGATAGTTCAGTATCTTTATAGAACCCGAAGGTTTGCAAAATTGGATCCTCGTCTAGTGTCGAGGTCAGGAAAGTATGGATGTAGCCTCAAAGGTTCACACCGTGGTTATGTATTCTGAGGACCTGGAGTGGGCGAACCAACGAAGTTAGAACATGTGGAATATTGAAATGAATGCAGTCTCACTTTTGCCTTTTGTTTTCATGTAGACGAAGGCTAAGACTCATGTTTTATATCTTGTGAATTATATCTTTCAGAATGTTACAAAGTGAAATTTGAACAACTAAGTTTAGCGTTTTTCTGTTTCTCTAAGTTATAATAATCTGTGAGTTGGTCCTCTGTCGCGTTCAGGACTTCAGTTGTTGACTTACAAATAGCAGTTCATACAGAAGTTGTAGGCGTATGTATGAGCTCTGGTGGTTTATTAATTAACGCCATTAATCTTAAAACTAAATACTATAGAGTTCATTCAACCGCAATTAATTGTTTTACAGTCTGTAAAAACGATATTTACAAAAGTTTAGTCGTTTTCTAAGATACGTATGTGTTCGCAGGTCCCCATTTTGTTATTGGCGATTCAGAAAATTAAATGGTACTGACGTCTATACAAAATTTCGTGAAAAACGGACAGATCCTTGAAACGTAGAAAGAGCTCCTTTTAAGATTAAAACTGAGTTTTTATGTTAATTCGTAGGTAAATGAAAAGGGCGAAGCAATCACTGGGGACTAAACATGGTTACACACGT